ACCAAAAGTGCTCGCGAAGTCGGCCAATCGTACGATTGACTCCAAAGTGTCTGGTGGCGGGAGCGTCGTGGAACTCGCCAAGAAGCTGCGTACACATGTGAATCACTTGATACACAAAGATCCTTCCCCCGTAAGTGACCTAGCAAATAGCCCTCTTGGATTCGATAGTGCGATGGCATTGGATTTGGAGACGAGTAATTCGCGTACTTGTCGCAAAACTCGGGGTCCACTTGGTAGTTGCAGATGAAGCTGTCCTGCAAGTCGTTGTCAACCTCGAACGTTGAGTAGACCGTGGTACAAAGGTTCGGGAACCGTAAAAGAGCGTCCACAAAACGGTTGGACTTTCCCGGAATGTGATCGGGGAAAACGTTTAACTGGTCAATGAAAGTCGTCCAACGGGCAATAGCACTATTAACCGTGTCTTGGGTCTTGTAAGAGACCGACGGATTGTTAGTCGTTACTCATCGGAATTGACTTCGACCAAGAAAAAAATGCTGCCACCTTTGAAGCGCATGTACGAAGGCCAGTAACTCCTTCCGTGCATCGTCAATTCAATGCATGACGGGCATTTTCTTAATAAAGTACTCGATCGGGTTCCAGTCCACACCATCGTGTTGCTCGAGGACAGCACCAATGCCATAGCCTAGTGCATCGGTAGTGACGCAAGTTGGAAAAAGTGGGTCATAGACGCATAAAACCTTCGTGGATCGCAAAGCGGTTTTGCGGGCCAAAAAGGAATCCCGCGCATCATGGCCGAAGTCGAACGGTCGATCCTCGCATTGAAGTTTGGTCAAATTGGTTGCGATCTTCAAATAGCCTTTGATAAAGCGTTGATAGTAGCCGGCTAGGCCAAGAAACGGACGAACATCCGTGACGTTCTTCGGCTCCGGCCACTTTTGGACAACTTGAATCTTGTCCGATAATGGACTAATGCCCTCCGGTGTGACGCACAAATTTGCACTTGTCGAGGTTGGCTTTGTACTTGGCGCGACGGAGTGTCTCCAACACACGTCAAAGATGCTCGAGATGGTCCTCCAAGGTCCAACTATGGACGAGAATGTCATCCAAGTAGACCAGCGCAAACCGGTCCAGCATCGCATGGAACTCGTTGATCATTGTCGCTTGAAAGGTCGTCGGGGCATTGGTGAGGCCAAAAGGCATGACGGCCCACTCAAAATGCTCGTACCGCGTCTTAAACACGGAATTGTAGTGATCTTGCGGGCGTATCGAAATCGGATGATAGCCCGACTACAAGTCCAATTCGAAAAGTACTTCGCACCATCCAAACGCTCAAGAAGATCGTCAAGACGAGGAAGAGGCCCCGCATTCTTGACAGTTTGCACGTTGAGCATGTGATAGTCCATGCACAAGCAAAGATCCTTGTTCTTCTTCTGTACGAAGAAATTGCGCCGGCCAAAATGGGGCCCGTGTGCAGGCTCAGCATGTAACAACTACGAAGCTGGCCTGATCTACGACAATCTTACTAAATTTCTCGTAAGTCATGTTGTCATCTTTCATACGGGGGTATTGAGTGGTCCTTAGGGGATCAGGCATAACTCTCACAAAGTTATTCGAAATCTGAGTGGGGGTTAGACCGCGATCGAGACATTGCAATAACTCCTCCATGATGGCTTTCAAAGCAACGACACTCTTCCATTTTCGATCAGCTATATTGAGAATCCAATGTTCAGGGTGTCGGGCCATGTTCCTATCCTCAAAACTCTACTTCAAGGCCTTAAAGAAATCGTTTATGCGAGTGCAGTTAGAATATTCCACCATTGACAAACAGCCTGCCTCCTCCATCAAGGAGATGGCAAAATTAGCGGCATCCCCAAAGGCAAGAGCTCGCCATCAAAACATGGTCCCAATATGGAATCGCCTATGGATACAGATACGTGCCCATATGCGGCCCCACTGGCAAAAGTTCTAATCGCTCTTCCCATTGTACGTCCAGGGAAGCTTCACTTTCATATTCTCTCTCGTTTCTCCCACTTCCGGCTGATTGGGATCTACCTTTCTGTCCCCCTTCTTCTTCAGACTACCACTACTTGCTATCTTTATCGTGGTGACGGTGTCTGCTAATTTCGAGGTGAGTAGTCCTTCCAGTTGTTGCGCATATCTGGTGGCCACATCACTTAAGTAGTTATTCCAAGTGCCCTTGAACTCGTGATTGTGCTGCTCGAGTCGGTTGACAGATTTGTTTTCCTGGTTAGTATGTAATAGGGCACTGGCCACAAGGGTATGGTCATCCTTCCACTCACCCTCATGGCCCTTATGTTCCCTGAGCTGACGTTCAGTCTCCTCTCCTTCAGCTTTCAATCTTCTTTTCTCATCCAGATCCCCCCTTTTCTTTATCAGGGGCCGCTGATGCAATTCATGTTCCCTTTCATGTATCAGCATTTCACACTTTGTGTCCTCCTCATCCACCTCCAACTTAGCTGTGAGTTCAGCCCTCTCTGCCTCTGATTCTTCTGCCCACTCCTCCTTCCTCAACCCAAACTTCTCCATCCACCTCGGGGTGTCAACTGGGTAGAAATGCAGTTGACTGGACTCTCCCTTTTCAGTCCACATACGTCCTTCAACTCTAGGCCTGGGGTCGTCCAACCTCACCTCCTCTTCTCCTTCTTCTTCTTCTTCTTCTTCTTCTTCTTCTACTACTACTACTACTACAACCTGTTGTTTCTGTTTCGGGTCGTCCAGCCTCACCTCCACATACCGGCCTACGACACTTTGGTACCGACACCTACTGACCTACGACACTTCGGCCTCTGGACCCTGCGGCCTACCCTACGGGACGGCCTTAGGACTTGGGACTTGTCGAGACCCTGGGACCGGGACTGGGTGTCTGCAGCGTGAATCCTTTCACCTCCACCTTCATCTCTCCTCCATGCCTCCACCTTTCTTCTCCATCTGTCCATCTCTCCTCCATCTCTCCTCCATCTCTTCTCTGTCTCTCCTACACCTGCCTCCACTTTTCCTCCATCAATCTTCTACCTTTCCTCCATGGATCTCCTTCATCTCGGCCTCTTGTTGCGAACTTCTGAAGGCAGCAACTGTTGTTGTTGTATTTTTCATCTTTGTTTTGTTATTATTATTATTATTATTATTATTATTATTATTATTATTATTATTATTATTACTTTTAATCGTGCACTTCATTTGAAGGCAGACTTCGAAGACCGCAACTGCTGGCATTTGCTGATTTTTTTCACTTTTTTAAAAAAGTTTTTCCTGTTTGCCCAGCCTTGTCTAAAGGGGGTGATGGTCGTGGAGAAGACTGCAGCAGGAGGGGGGATGACACAGAGTGTGGTGTGGGTGAATTGGGGATGCGATGGGGAATATGGCTGATTTGGTGGTCCTGCCCATTGTTGATGTGTGTAGGTCAGAATGACGAGCCGCAATTTCGCCACCGACATGGTCAAGCGCCATTTCGCCACCGACATGGTCAAGCGCCATTTCGCTCCCAAAGCCCCTCAGACCCCTCAGAACCCCCTTAAAAAACGGAGCGCATGGCCCCACACATTTCCGCACCCACACAGGCGCCCCCCACACGGAACTCCGCACAGACCGGGTCTGTGCGGAGATCGGGCACCTCCCGCACGCCATACTCCACAACAAACCGCACGAATGTGCGGCTCGTGCAGTTGCAAGTATGGTTCACCTTACTTGAGGTTCCCATATGTCTGCAATCAAATGCACATTTTCATTGTCATGAAACGACAACCAACTGCACAGACTGCAATCAGCACTGGCCACCCCATCAGTCCCAAGCCTGGCTCGAGGTGTCCTAGTGCCGCTAGCATAGATTCCGACACTTAGTCAGCCTGGTCTCCGGTAGAGTCCCGTTCTGTCACATCCAGTTCCGAGAAAAGTCAGCACTCCAAGAACCAAAGCCCCTCAGACCCCTCAGAACCCCCTTAACGCATGGCCCCACACATTTCCGCACCCGCACAGGCGCCCCCCACACGGAACTCCGCACAGACCGGGTCTGTGCGGAGATCGGGCACCTCCCGCACGCCATACTCCACAACGCACCGCACGAATGTGCGTCTCGTGCAGTTGCAAGTATGGTTCACCTTACTTGAGGTTCCCATATGTCTACAATCAAAAGCACATTTTCATTGTCATGAAACGACAACCAAGTGCACAGACTGCAATCAGCACTGGCCACCCCATCAGTCCCAAGCCCGGCTCAAGGTGTCCTAGTGCCGCTAGCATAGGTTCCAACACTTAGCCTGGTCTCCGGCAGAGTCCCGTTCTGTCACATCCAGTTCGAGAAACGTCAGCACTCCAGGATCCCAGGTAGGCACGCGAGTATTCTGGAAACATCGTATGGCCGAGACAGTACCAGGTAAACCAGGTCTGCAAGTCCAAGGGCTGAAAGCTGGATCACCGCATACCAAAGCACAGCGGCTGTTGTGGACAGCTTTCATTCCGTCTGTGCTTGTGGTGGAAGCGCTTCTGTGCTGGAGTGCAAACACATGATGAGTGAGGCTGGTTGATAGAGAGACAGGGTAGCGGTAGCCAGCAGACGCTGGGCACCATAGCTGTAGGCACGACTGGTAGAAAGAGAAGACATTCCGAGAGCAAGAAAGTTAGGGCTGACGGTCGAGCCCAAGTTCATTTTCTTGTTCTTTGGTATGGCAACCAGCCACACAGCCAGTTTTAAACAGATTGTTTGTACTTGGCAGGGACAGGAGTTAGGAGTTGCACATAGGAGGAGTGGACTCAGGGAAATGACTGCAAGATAACTTGAGTTCCATAACTCATTGCTTTAATCTTGGCTAGCGTTCTGGGGCGAAAGTATGCAACTCGGAATGACTAGGAGGAGTGGACTTGTGATGTTGTTGATTGCATAAAGTGTAGGACCTGTAGGTTCATTACCGAAGAGAGCCACCAACACCAACTTGCACCAAGCATAAAATTTGTAGGGCATAAAGCAAACAGGAGATAACAGAGACAGGTAGCTTATGGGCGAAATGTGGCAGATATCAGCTTACTTGAGTTCCTCATGCTTTTCAATGAGATGGGTTGCATCCAAACGCACATTTGAATCGTTATGAAACAATAGCCAGAAGAGTCCCTGTTGAACATAATCACGAAACAGAGCGATGAAGATGTGAGCCGAACAATCACAGGGAATATACGTACTACCAATTTACCACATATCCATCAACTATAACCACACACTTCGCAAAAAAAATGAAGAAAGAGCCGCCAGCATGGACATAGGAGTCAGTATATCTTTGGCAATGCAAGAGACATTCATGGTAGGGCTAAGAGAAAAGTCTATCTGCTTATGGCTGCGGAATCAGGTTTGTCTCCTTTACCACTTTGAACCGGAACCCACAGGGAACTGGAGATTCCATATATGGACCAGATGCTTCGACAATGGGCCACTCGCCAGGACGCAATAAAAGGCACCGCACATGCATCCTGTCCTATATCTCGATCAGATGCATCGAAAACAGGCCTCTCGCCAGAACGTGCTCCACTACACAACACCTCACATGTGCGAGCACATGCACCGGAAACGGGCCACTCGCCAGAACACACCGTAAATCACGCTCGAAAACGAGCGTCTTGCAGGAGGGAGGCCCACACTTCTCAGGACCGATTCCACAAACAGTAACTTCCGCAACTCACTGGCAACCCGTTCGATAGTGGGAGATCTACGACACCAACGCAATACAAAGAACATTAAAGAACAAAGAAACACAAAGACAGCACACACGCGTCGAAGCCACAGCACCCGAGAAAGCTGACGTGCCGCAAAAGTAGAGTGTGCAAAACCGTTAGAACATACAGTTTCCAGCAATTCCATCCGCACAGAGCAGAATCCAATGGCCAAAACGTAAAAGACAAGAACCGGCTCGGCACGCAGTGTCACGCCCAGGTCAACTAAGCTTCGACACCAACGCAATACAAAGAACATTAAAGAACAAAGAAACACAAAGACAGCACACACGCGTCGAAGCCACAGCACCCGAGAAATCTGACGTGCCGCAAAAGTAGAGTGTGCAAAACCGTTAGAACATACAGTTTCCAGCAATTCCATCCGCACAGAGCAGAATCCAATGGCCAAAACATAAAAGAAAAGAACCGGCTTGGCACGCAGCGTCACGCCCAGGTCAACTAAGCTTCAGTAGTATGTTGTTGATGGGTCACGAACTTAGCTCCCTGTTGGTCTCTGCACGTGATACTCAGGACTCACCAAATGCGCAAAACTAGAATGAATCTTCCCCTAGAAAGTGGAACCATACGCCACCATATGTTTTTTCATTTGTGCACGTGGTGAGTAGTATTCATAAGAAAAGGAAAACAAAAAAAAGGAGAATCACGTGCCGAGACCAGCAGGGCCTAGCTGAGTTCATAACCCATAACTGCTGAAACACAGATCTGAGTTCAAATCCAGACCATATATTATTGGCCTGCTCACGTCATTCTCACTTTTCAACGACCTTGAGGTGAGCCCTTGTGAATGCTTTTGCAATGGCCTCTCCACAAAAGATTGAATCCAATTAGGATATGCACGCACCCACACACACACATGCACACACAAATTGTGGGCAGGACGTGGCCCCGATATAAATTTTTAAAAGGGAGGGCCACCAAACCCTGCCCTTCTCGATTTTTTTTACCGACCCCTAATTTATGGGTTGGGTCGCATCGCGTGCGCGTGCGCTATGCGCTGCATATGCCCAACTCACGCGCACGTGATGTGCCGCAAGTATGCTATGGACATTAAACAAAAAAAAACTCCATGAAAACCAGGCCCCTCTCCGAATACAAAGCCAAGCTCTGATACAAACTTGGCATTAGAACCGATCACCCTAACCCAAAAATTAACAAGAGGTGGAAATGTGTCCTTAACCCAGACAGTACCCGCAAGCTTGAAATCCCACGGCCAACGTATTTCATGATTAAACCCACGAAAGTTCAGAGTCTGCAGTGGTTGCTAGCCTACACTGCCAGCCTGTCCATCAATGGCTCCCTGAAAAGAGGAAAAACTCAGATCCTAACAACGCTGACGTTTGTGCACTGTGTACTAGTAACACACCTTAAGACATTCACTGCTTGCTGAGTTGTATTGATGCCACCTGGATCTCGGATGAAGTCAAAGAGCTCTCGGCCTCCCTCTTTTCGTGGCCCCCTTCCACTACTACAAGGTGCACTATCCTATTACATGTTAACCCCCCCCCCCCCCCCCCAGTAACCTGAAGGGCAATAAGGCGATCTGGTTCAAACTACTCAGGAAATTGGCAATCTGGTTTATATGGGAAAGGTGTACGCAAGCAATCGACAAAGAGATCACGTCAAGGGAGGAACCATGGTCGTCGAGGATGGGAGAGGCAGAAACTCAAATCCGATGCAGGTAGAGTTCTATCAAACTCGCAGCAAAGCTCAAACCAGAGAAGTCCAAGAAGACAGCTTTCTACCAGGACTGGCTGCTGAGGGGTAAGATAGCGAGTACCATCGACAGCAAGCTGAGGTCAAAGAAATGACAGAGAGCAAGGCAACAAACCAGCAGACAGAACAGACGGCTCAGTACACCTGGAAGACTCTGAGAGAGCCAAGCAGAACAGGGAACCGATCGGTCCATTTCAAAGATCAACAACTTTCAGACTGCGTGCATGGTTCCTGTATTTCTAAGAGTTCTTCGTATACAAGACAAAATACAAGTCTCCAGCTGAGATTGAGAGGAATCTAGATGCTCAGGCGATCTGACAGTCAATCCTCCCACAGGGAGGAATGAATGCCGGTCAGGGGTCCAGCAGCAGCCTAGACGGAAGGAAGTGTTGAGTGGGTTCTATCTCGAAACACTTTTCCACTTGTATTTGGAACCGGCCTGATGCTCCCCAGAGTGGACAAGGAGCCCGGACCGTAAGGACCTGTTTGACATTAAGGAAAAACGAAAAAGAAAAGGGCAGAGGTGTACCTGGTGCCATATTCAAGCTGGATTTCAGCTACTTTGAAGTACAGAACAAAAGAACTGAAGAGTTTGGACTCCAAATTTGAAGAAAACTAGGCCACATATTTGAAATAAGAACTCGAACAAAAGAATAGTTCAAACTTTACAAGCTGGCAACAACCCCATACGAAAAAAGGAGCTGGAAGATACTGACTACCTTCATCAGGGTTCATGCAACCAGAATCTTCAGAGTGCACATGTTACATTTTAAAAACACTTCACAATGCCACAATGCATACTGCTTTACTGAAGCAATAACGAAGGTAATGTAGGTCGTTATCACACCGGACACGGAACTGCAGAATGAACAGTGGAAGCAATAAAGACGGTCAGCAACGCCACACAATTGTGTTGTCATCCATCCATTCCACCCACTTGTCACTCCATCACTTCATCCATCACATGTGGTAGAACAGCGGTAATGCATTTCCAAAGTTTTCTTGGCTCGTTTCCTTGCCTCACAAACTTGGCCATAAGGTTCACTGCAACAACCTGGACGCTATCATCTGAGCCCTGACTCCATCCGTTCATTCATCGAGTACTGTGGAAATGCATTTCCGCCATATTGGGCCCTAACCAAGAGTTATCTGCTGGCGCTTTTTTTCAACACAGAATGTCAGATTTCACACAAATGGCCTACATGCAGTCAGCTGGGGTGTAGCAGGACTGGTGCAGAGAGGTGCAAGGCACAGCGAGACCTGACTCTCACACGCATGAACTCAACTCTCAGGACTCTTAGAAGATGAGAGTGAGAGGCACAGAGGGCCCGGAGCTGAGGACCAAACCCACTTGACTCCACACATGAGGATTCCAGCAGCAAAATGAATTTGTAATTCCCCTTGAACTCTAGCAAGCCCAACCAAAACAAATATAGTATGATTATGCATAGTGCTGCGGACTGTCAGCGTCAGTATCAAGATTAGGTCTGAACAAACCCAAGCTGTACCGGTGTCACCAAAGACTTCCCGATTCAAGAAAAGGAACTTAAGGAACGATTCCGAAAAGTACCTAGGTATCTGGGATTTGCAAGGAAAGTCATGCGGCCTGGAAAATGCCTTGGTGTGAAAACAGTCTGAAGGACTGGTGTCCAAAAATGCAATGCCACCCAGACTGCTGGCATGTAATTCATCTCCCGCACGAAAACAGCCAAGGGACGATTCCAAAAAATACCCGGGTATCTGGGATTCGCAAGGAAAGGCAATCGGACAAGAAAATGACTTGGCGTGAACACAGTCTGCAGGACCGGTGTCCAAAGATGCACTTCCACCCAGTAGGTCCGGGGTTTGAGCGCTGGAATATAATTCATCTCTTCAAAGTGTTCGACCCTTGTACTGACACAATTCCTGCAAGTGTCTGCTGCAATTACTGCGCTTTAGAGTTGACTGTCGCATCTGTGGGTGTAACACAGGCAAGCTAAGAGCACACCTGAGGTTTCTTTCACCATAATTAGGATAGGCGTGCAAAGGAACTGTTAAGAGTACAAGTGGACCCGCCGCAGCCACGCTGCGGCAGAGGAGAGGGACGAAGAGGGGCGCGGGGCTGTTGTTGTTACACTGCCGGTTTCTTTTATTATTATTATTTTTTTGTCGTCATATTCGCTATACACTCAAAAAAAACATGACTGTGGCAGATTGTTTCTCTCTCTCTCTCTCTCTCTCTCTCTCTCTCTCTCTCTCTCTCTCTCTCTCTC